TGTATTCCCAAAGTGATCTGAGATGTTTTTCGAAGGCATCACTGACTAGCTCTCTATAACCTAACATAACAATCAAATTCCCGAGGCATTCCAAGGTAAGCCCAACTCTCCAGCCTTAACCCTCAACACCTCCCCACCTAGACCTCTATTCATAGGAGGGAGAAAACAGGCATTAAAATTTAAAAGAATCAGTAACATTTTAAGCCAATCACAAAGTAAACCTTTCCTACTTAGGAGTCTTTTTTTAAAAATTGTCATATTTGCTGCATTTCCAAGTTTGCATGCGGCACGCATTGATCAGCTATTCTGTTATGTAAAGAAGCATAAGCGAATGCATGCAGTGTGGGGGCCCAGCCAAGCCCCGCCCGCTGGCTGGGGTGGCCCACGCTCCGCTGCCCGCTGGGGAAGTCACAGTATCTGGGGACCAGGAAACAGGCTCTCGCCCCCAGAGGGAAGCTGCTTTCATGTCTTTAAAGAACCAGAACTGTGACGCTATCATTTAACCTGCCTCTGACTTAGATGGGATTTAAACATTTTAAGAATTATATTGTACAAAACACAGTCATGCACAGCTGGGAGTCATTCTTTAGGGGGCGCCGTGGAATCATGCTGCTGAGTTTTCCCCGTGAAATACCTCCTGAGCCAGACGCTGACACGTCTCTCCTCCCAGGGACCGCACCTTGAGGAAGACGGCCGCAGAGAGCGCCTGCTCCACGCCTATCAGTGTGAGTAGGAAAAGAACCCCAACCCCTGTCTTAGGGATCAGTGACAGCGGCGCTGAAATGTACAATGGGCTGGTGCGTGACCCTGAAGCGGCACTGCCCAATACAGTGGCCACTCGCCACACGTGGCTCTCCAGCTCTTGAAGCGCCCCGTTCAAGTTGAGATGAGCCGTAGCAGTAAAATGTGCACAACCGCAAGGGCCTGGTGTGCGGAAGAGCATGCAAAGTGTCTCACTAATACCCTTTTATACTGATCATAGAAAACAACGATATTTGGATATATTAGGTTAAATAATGTAGTTTTACCCTAATTATTTTCACCTATTTCTTATATGTTTTTATTGATTTGAGAAAGAGGGAGCAAGGGAGAGGAAGGAAGAGAGAAACACCAATAAGAGACCCACTGTTTGGCTGCCTCCTGCACACCCCCTAGTGTGGATAGAGCCTGAACCCTGGGCATGTACCTGGACCAGGAATTGAACCAGTGACTTCTCAGTGCATGAGAGGACACCCAGCCAACTGAGCCACACCAGCCAGGACTCTTTTTCCTGTTTTTAATTAGCTGTTAGAGATTTAAAACTGACACATGGAGCTCACGTTACATTTCTATTGGACAGTGCTGCTCAAATATTATTCTTTTAAAATAAACAAGTGATCAACATCTTTGAATTATTTATTCATCTTTAATGACTGTTTGCCTTTCTGTAATAAAAACAGGACCCAGGCTCCGTACTGGCAGAGGGAGGGGGTGGTGGGAGGCAGTGGAGTCCAATTATTTCTACACCTGATGGTTTAAATTGTAAACAGGCACAGGGAGGAAAAAAGATGTTGAATCAAATGTAAATGCAAACCCATTCTGAGAGGTGACCTACGGCACGGGTGCCACCGACACTGAATGACAGCTCTCGGAGCATTCTGGAACATTCCCAGGTACGCAGCCTCTGGCACAGAGCCGAAGTCCATCGAGCGCAGCAGTATGGCAGGTCCCCCTGAGGTCTCGGTGGTTAAACATTGTCTAGTTTGCTGCCCAAAAGGATTTACGTGAAAGAACATGTATGAACAGCCCCAGGACTCTTTGCAGGTGGTCCCTGCAAATGTGGGAATGTCACACATTTAGTATTTCACTTCATAACTATCCAACTGCTCCAGGAAGCATATCCCTCAAAAATGGCAGTGCCATAAATTATTAATTATTTAAAAAATTCATATGAATGACCCAAAGTCTAAGTTCACAATGCAATTCTGAAAGGTGACACATTCGAATTTGACACGATTGTGTACTTATAATCCTATATAATAAAAGGGTAATATGTAAATTGACCATCACTCTGTCACAAAGATGGTGGCGCCCAGTCCTCTCAACCCTGCTGGAGTCCCCCAGTCCCAGGGGGCAGCCGCTGATAGCAAGCAGCATGAGCGACCTAGTGGAATGTTTGCTTCGTCACCGCAGCAACGAGGCAAGTGTTCTGCCCCCAGCCATGGGTGGGCCTCTAGGCCGCAGAGAGCCTCTGGGCAGCGGGCATGGAGCGGCCAGGCCCTGCAGAGAGCTACTGGCACACAGATTCATGTGCAGGGCTACTAGTAAAAGGATATAAAACATAATAATTAGAAATTGATGAATCTTGAATGCCATGAAGTCAACACAAATAAGTGTGGAGAGTTCTCTTTAAAACACACACACACACACGTACACATACATGTACCCTGAGCCAAATTTATGTCATAGAACACCCACTTCCCTACGACAGCATCGGCCCCTGGTATCAGCAGCAGCACAGGAGAGAGGCCTGGTGGCTCAGAGGCTTCCTGTCTTAGCTGCTAACTTCCCCCACATTTTTGTAGGTATTAGGAAAGGGGGTTGCAGTATATGTGCATTTAAATTAGAGAAATTCACCCACAGGCATGTGGCAGGAAGGAAGAGCTGCTTTTAAAAACAACAGACAGGAACCCCACCACTCCATCCCATTCGATGAAGCGTTGACCCAGCGTAGCAAGGGAGAGAAGACTCGTCTTTTTAAAACTGGTTTCAGAGCCCAAGTCTTTCATGTAGCTCTGGTCTCCCAGGTGACTGAAGGCATCGTGAAAAATACTTTTGTCTGTACCTAACCTTGGCTTCTGTGTGGACTGTAGACGGCAAATCCTTGGCTAGAGGACTTGGTGGTGTGCTGACGAAACCATGTGCTCCATTAGGCCGTAATGTCAGTTACACTGGTCCCAGTACGTTCCTGGCTCCTTCCTTCCGACCACCGCCTATGCCTGTGCTTTGGAAAGATCGCTTGGCTGCTGTGTCACAAAGACAGACCTTAGCCAGAGGGCAGGAACAACAGTTACTTGGTGACCTGAATCACTGACATGATGGAAAAGGATAGAAGTGGACAGAGGTTTCCCGGGAAAGGTGCCAGGATGGCTGCTTCATGGAGGTTGCTTCGGTTGCTAACAGGGGTCCACAAATCACACAGCATCAGTATTCTCCAACATGGCATTCTCTCCCAAAGCACACCTTTTAATGTTGACTAAGATAAGCTTAGAGCCACCTTTTTACTCCTCCTCCTTCGGCAGTTTCCCACTGGTTACAGAGTGCAGCCCCAGGCGCCAGGCATGTGGTTAAACATCTGCTCGGGAACTGCTGGGCTTCTGGAGTTTCAGTAACAGTGATACCCATCTTGCCTAATCTCTCACTTAATTTCAAATGTGAGACAGGAGACTTGTCTATAGGTGCATAGTATATACAGACCAAGGAAGAAGTGTAGGTAACACCATTGAAATGTGGAGTCACAGTTCTCCACTGTGCATACAGGATATTGCTTGTAGCTCAGGTAATTTTCTAATTTTGAACAAAAAGGTAGGGAGTTTCTGAAATTCAAACTATACAATTCCCAGAAGGATCCCATAAGACAAACATGATCTCATTGTATCCAGCAAGTGATAGATATGACATCACTGCATTTTTAAACCCCGCAAAACAAACAGTGCCGTATGGCTCATTTTTCTTTTTGCCAACAGCAAACTAACAACAATCTGGCGCCTTCTAATAAACTGCTGCTGGCTCTGGGAGCACTCGGGGCCGCATTTTCTTTATCCCCATTGCTACTGGTTTGCTAATAATTTCTTTAGCCTCAGAGTTATAATTAGAAGACACTTACTACTTTGCATAATCAAACTGCAATTGCTATTTGGGTGAAATCCAACCAATTTAAGTATCCGTACTTTAAAAAAACCCACCACAAAAAAATAAAACAACAGAAAAACCCAATATCTGGCAAAAGAGAATAACAAACACCATGCGCTCTAATGAACAGGTAGTCTAATAAGGTTTGCCTAATGTCCGAGTTATTTTCTTTGGGAGGTTGGAGAGCAAGTGATATGAAAAATATCAATCTGTTTAAAGGCATCACGGTGTGTAAATGGCAACAAATGAAGGCTCTTCCATAACACGAATGACGGGAACAAGGATAAAAAACTCACTTGGGGTTAGAAATGTAACCAAGCCTTGGGCCTCTGGTTACACGTGTGCTCCTGGGAGATCACCCCACATTTCTGAGTCTGTTTACTCATTTGTAAACTGGAATTACAATACCTTACTATCATAGACACGTCAGCTTTCTGATGCCCCCCAAATCCAGGTGAGATAAACGATAAGCAGGAAAATAAGCAAAGGTCTCGGCCTGTGTTCCTCTCCGTGCCACTGTCATCCTGCCACAATGTTGGTCCAAAGGCACCGATGGGGCTTAAGTAAAATTATAATGTGACCAAAGCGTTTGGTGTTTCAGATCAAACCTCAGGCCCAGTTCCAAGGTAGATCTGAGTTTAAAGAGTTACCCTGAGATAAACCACACCAAACCTTTTCTGTAACGCATCACACATAAATATTGTAGGCTTTGCGGGCCACCTCTGATTTATGTCACACATGCTTCATTTTTTCAACCCTTTAAAAAACATAAAACCACCCTTACCTCGAAGGCCACACACAAAAAAGGCCAGGGGCAGACCTGGCCCGCAGCCGACCCGAGACCAGCGTGCTTACTGTTAAGCTATGCTCAGTCTACATCTCATGTCTTCAATGGCCCCCTCCCTTTTTTCTCTTTATTATTCATTCGCCAAAAATCTAATGAAATTTTCTTTTCTAGCACTACAGGAGTTCCAACTACCACGGCCTCGGGTCGGTTCTGAAAAGCTCTATTCACACAAGCACCAGAAGGAAGTTCTTGGAGAAAACCTTTCCTAGGTTTCTCTACTTCCCACCGCGCTCCTAGCGGATGGAGGGCCCGCGGGCCTTACCTGGCCGGGGGAACGTCGATGCTGGAGGAGACCACTTTTCGCTTCTGCTCAAGGAGACAGATGGAGCGGGCGTTTTCCCTGTCATGGTCCGGGCCTCGGGTGGCTGGCCTGGTGTCGGCGGTTTTCACGTCTTCCTCCATGGCCAAGGGGAACCAGGGCTGATGAGACAGTTTTTTACTCAAGTCCCGTTTTAGGTCCTCGGGGTGAAACGTGAAGGTCATGTCCCGCTTAATGCTCCCCACCTGTGAAATGAACACAAATTCTCACTCACACACCTGTGAGTTCTGCAGGACCACGTGCAGGCGGCCGCCAGCACAGACCACAGACACCACCCTCCCTGCTCATCTTGAAGGTTGTGTAGTATAAATGGGAAAAATGCAATATACAGATAAAATACCTGACACCACAGAGTAATATACGATTAATGCATCTTCTGTCCTCTGCAGACAAAAGCATAAAACACAAGAGAAGCCTTTCGGGAGAACAGAAACTTCGGAGGCTTGAAAGCATAAGACTTGTAAAAAAAATCCAAAAATTTAAAACATCATTGCTTTCTATAGCTGCGAAAACTCAATTAAATCAATAAATTCCTTTATTTATTTTAAGCCTTTATTGTTAGAGTATTATAGATACACCTCTTCTATTGCCCCTCTCCACTTGCTTCCTGCCCTGCCTCATGCATTCACAATCCTACTGTCTATGTCCACAGGTAATGCATATATGCATATAGGTTCTTTGGTTAATTCCTCCCACCTCCCACCCCCTTCCCTCTGAGATTGGTCAGTCTGTTCCATGTTTCCATGCCTCTGGTTCTACTTTATTCATCAGTTTACATTGTTCATTAGATTCCTTGTTCGTTTATTTTGATTTTTAGATTCAATAGTTGATAGATACACATTTATTGCCATTCTATTGTTCATATTTTTTACCTTTTCTTTTGTTCTTCACCTTCTCCTTCTCCTTCTTCTTCAATACCCTTGAACATTTCATGTAATACTGGTTTGGTATGATGCACTCCTTTAGCTTTTTCTTGTCTGTGAAGCTCTTTATCTGACTTTCAATTCTAAATGATGGCTTTGCTAATCTTGGTTGTAGGTTCTTGCTTTTCATCACTTTGTATATTTCTTGCCACTCCCTTCTGGCCTGCAAAGTTTCTGTTGAAAAATCAGCTGACAGTCATATGGGTGCTCCCTTGTAGGTAACTAACTGCTTTTTTCTTGCTGCTTCTAAGATTCTGTCTTTGTCTTTAACCCTTGGCATTTTAGTTATGACGTGTCTCGGTGTGGGCTTCTTTGGGTTCCTCTTGTTTGGGGTTCTCTGTGCTTCCTGGGCTTGTATGTCTATTTCTTTCACCAGGTAGGGGAAGTTTTCTGTCATTATTTTTTCAAATAGATTTTCACTATCTTGTTCCCTCTCTTCTCCTTCTGGTACCCCCATGATGTGAATGTTGTTTCTTGAAACTGCCCCAGAGGCTCCTTACACTATCTTCATATTGTTTTATTCTTTTTTCTTTTTGCTCTTCTGATTGGGTGTTTTTTGCTTTCTTATATTTCATTCTCAGCATCCTCTACTCTACTGTTGATGCCCTGTAAACTATTCTTTATTTCAATTAGTGCATGATTAATTTCTGACTGGTCCTTTTTTATGTTGTTGATATTCTTATGAATTTCCTTGAAATTCTAAGTTCCTTGAAGTTCTCATTAAGTTCCTTGAGCAGCCTTATAACCACTGTTTGAGCTCTGTATCTGGTAGTTTTCTTGCTTCCATTTCACTTAGTTCTTTTTCTGTTCTTTCATTTGTGACATGTTTCTTTGTCTTCGCATTTTGGCTACTTCCCTGTGTTTGTTTCTATGTATTAGGTAGAACTGCTATGTCTCCCAGACTTGGTAGAGTGACCTTGTGTAGTAGGTGTCCTGTAGGGCCCAGTGGCTCAGCTTCCCTAGTCACCTGAACTGGGCACTCCAGGTGCACCCCTGTGTGAGCTGTGTGCATAGTTCTATTGTAGTTGAGCCTTGATTAATGTTGGCATCACTGGGAGGGATTGAGACACAGGCTAACTGGTTGTGAGGACCAGCTGCAATTACATCTGAAAAGCTGCTGTGCAGGAGACACTCCTATGGAGCAGGACTTGCTTCAGTGGGGCTTTGGTGCTCACTGTGTCTTCCCCTTGAGCAGGGGTCCTCAAACTACGGCCCGTGGGCCACATGCAAATACAAATATTGTATTTGTTCCCGTTTTGTTTTTTTACTTCAAAATAAGATATGTGCAGTGTGCATAGGAATTTGTTCATAGTTTTTTTTTAAACTATAGTCCGGCCCTCCAACGGTCTGAGGGACAGTGAACTGACCCCCTGTTTAAAAAGTTTGAGGACCCCTGCCCTTGAGTATATCACTCATGGATGTGTAGAGTTGTGATCGAGCGTGGTGTGAAGCTATCCACTAGGTGCACTGGCTCTGGGGCCCCCTGGGAGGTACAAAGTCAGCCTATGCCTATGCCCTGCCCAGGGCAACCCAGCATGAGCTACAAAGCAATCTGCAAATGGCTGCTATTTGTGTTGAGCTTGGTGGTGCCCAGGAGAGGCCAAGCTGTGAACTAGGGTGAGCTGCAGCTAGTGCCGGGCCTGGGGCCACTTATTGAGAGGTACAGGGTAGCCTGAGGCCAGCTGCTGCTTGTTTGAGAGATTTTAGGAAAGTCCAAAGGATGATACAAGAGAGGCCAGTTGAATGGAAAAGCCACTGGAAATTGCTTGGATGAGCCTGCAAGCAGGGAAGGGTGGGGTCTCAGGGAATCACCAGGGCAAGGATAAAAGTATGAGCCAGGTTGATGGAGATTCAGATATGGCGCAGCCTGTCAGCTCTGTGGCAGGGAGGGCTCAGCAAAGGAACAGTGGCCTCTGCCAGGCCTCTGTCTTGAGGAAAGCTGCCCCTCCAGCTCTTGCCCTGATTCCAGGCAAGTTAGTTCCTCCCTGATTATCCCAGGTTCTGAGTAAGTCCATGCACAGGCCCTTTAAGAGAACTGCCTGGGACTTCCACAGCCTCCGTGTCACTCAGTCAAAATCCCTGCTGGTTTTTACAGCCCAAAGTTACGGGGACTTCTCTTGCCAGCACTGGAAACCTGGGTTGGGGGCCTGGTGTGAGGCAGGGACCCCTGTTCCTCCGGGGGGCCTCCACAGCCTAGATATCCCTCCCGATTAAACAAACACTGCACATGGGTGTCAGTCCAGCCGGTTCTGCGATTCCACCCGTGTCTCTGCCCCTCCTACTAGTCGCCGTGAGCTTCTTCTCTAATTCCCTAGTTGTAGGACTTCTGTTCAGCTAGATTTCAGGTGGTTTTGAATGACGGTTGTTCTGTATTTAGTTGTAAATTTTGATGTGGTTGTGGGAGGTGGCGAGTACTGTGTTTACCTACACAGCCAGCGAGTCCGGAAGCCTCTAAAATTTTCAAAGTCAATAAATTCTTAAATATTTCATGCTGATTATGTTCACAGAAGACAGTGATGACTAAAAACACCAAGGCTACCCTTGACTGTGAATACTGATCTTCACCTACTCTTTCGCTCATGAAGACTTGGATTTTATCCTTTATTTGCAGCAGTTAATATCTTAAGGAAATCCCTCCATTGATATGACAATAAAAAAGACATAAGCCTTCCTTATTGTTGACTAAATACAAAGATGCTTAAGGCATAAGACAAATACGAAATGAAACCGCAGGGAATTGAATCCGGCGATTTCAGAATCCGGGAAGACTGAGAAGGAGACTGACGTTACAGAAAGGTGTGGGTGAGGTGATGGGGATTGGAGCGAACCTGGTCCAGTCTTAAGGGCACGAAGAGAGCCGGTGCCCTGGGCCCTCACTCTCAGGGATTTCAAAACACGCCCGTAAGACATGTCACAGGTCCACACCACGTGCATCCCTCAGCACTTAGTTTCGGGGGTGAGTAAATCTTCGCCCACCCACTCGCGTAGAAGCTCTGCTTGTTTGTTTCTTCTTAATTTCAGGTAGGGGGAAAAGCACAAAGAAGGTGATCAAATAGAGTTAGAACTTTAAAAGCTAAAGCCACAAACAAAGAATTTTTCAGAATAACATGAGACTAGGATGCATGTTCAGTGAAAGTGGAGACTTGGCAAAGCATGATATCAGTGGCCAGAAACTCTCAGACTCAAGGGAAGCTCGGCGGTATGTGTGTGCTGGAGTCACAGGGCCTGCCCACAGAGGAGGGCCGCCAACGCCCGGGGAGGACCTGCGCTGTCACGGGGACTGGGCTCGGCTCGCCGGCTGCATGTCAGGCAGGAGGGCCTCCCTGTGCTCCCGGAGGCCGAGCCAGCTCCACAGAGAACCGTCAGTCACGCCTGCCCACTTGTAACTCACTAACCAGTGACCACGTTTCTCAGAGCGCCTTAATAATATAAAAGGCCAAGAAAAATGAGTGTCTTTAAGAGCTAACTGTTTTAATGACACCAATACATTATACAGAGGAGTAAGAAAATATTTCAAACTTCCAATAATGCAATCAGTGTTCAATAACAATGTAGTCTATTTATTATTATTATTTTTTAATACTCACCTGAGGATATTTTTCCATTAATTTTTAGGGAGAGTCGAAGAGAGAGGGAAAGACAGCAGAAATATCAATGTAAGAGAAACATGAGCCCCGACCATGGCCCAGGCCGGGGAGGAGCCTGCAAGCAAGGTACATGCTCTTGACTGAAATCGAACCTGGGACCCTTCGGTCCGCAGGCTGACACTGTATCCACTGAGCCAAACCGGCTAGGGCAACAACAATGCAGTTTAGAAAATTGACAAATGCAATTGCAAATGTTTTAAATATCCATCTCTAATCACTTTCTACACCATGTTTCCTGCCTGGAGGCGGGCGTGAGAGCGGGAGCTGGCTCACTCCCAGAGCAGCTCAGTCCCAACCAATGTTACGGCGGAAACATGCTACACACCAGGCATAAAAGAGGAAAGCAAAGCCTGGTTCTGATGTTACCAACAATCTCTCCCTAAGTGCCAAGTACATTAATTAAATATTTAAGGAGTCATTAATATTCATCTGTAGCAATAATTGACATCCATGCCTCCCTGGGGGCCAACAGAGCTGGTGGAATGATCAGTCCAAAGAGAGGTGGGAGGGGAGAACATTACAGCAAGCTCAGCTGCTAGCTCACAAGCGGAGGGAAAACCCAAGCATCTACAGCCAATTAATGGAGAAGTGATGCTATAACTGTATGTCAC